GTCCAGCGAGATAGCCATTACACTAACTGCTGGTCCCCTTCCAATTCATTTTTATGAGGCCAATATTACCCTAATGCCAAATCAGAAACACACACACACACAAAGATCGGTGAATTGTACAATTTATTGTGTTAGAAATTAAAACTGGAAAAAAATTAAACAGAAAAATATACAAGCATACATCTCATTAGCCACCAGAGCAATGACACCATTACCTGTCATTTAACTTCTGGAAAACTGTTGCACACTCATGAGACTATGAGAGTGAAGAAGAGAAATAACATCTTAGTGTTATGAATACAAAATTGATCTCGCAGCCCCTCAAAATGGTCTTAAAGATAGGATGTCTATCATGTTCTGGTTTGCCTGGGATTTTTTCTGATTTTAGCATTGACAGTCCTAGCAAAATTTATATGGTTTTTCTAAGATTTATCTGGTTTTAAAGCTATAATCCTTTTGGAGTCAGCAGGTGGCATGGTGGTTAAGGCACTGGATTCTCATGTGACTAACTGTGGTTCGAGTTCTAAATTCAGCAGCTTGAAATTCACGGGGTGTGTGTGTGTGCATGCATGCCCTAAATCCTAAGAGAATGGAGAAGGGATTGCAGTGTGGCCACCTCCCCTAGGGGGGGTGATTTCTAAATTTTCCTCTTTCTATCTCTCTCAGCAAGTGCATGCATCCTATGGAGAAAAAAAATAAAAATATTCCCACAATCAAGGAACCACCTTGACCCTGGGCCAACTGTGTTGTTTGTTCTCCATACTTAATGTCTTGTCACCTTTCTGTGGTGACTTTAAGAATCTCCTTGTAAGGCCCTCCTTCCACAGAATAAATTCCAAATTAAGTCTTACTATGTTACTATCACCTAGAATTTTATTATCATCATGTTGTAATTTGCTAAAAATGAAACCACTCTCTTCCCCTAACCCTACTCTTTCTCAGCTTTACTGTAAGATTCATTCTTCATTTTCCTCATCTTAGATTCCTCAAATAGGATACCTTTAAAGCGTTTTGTGATGTAAAGTATCATCAGAATATGAGTGTGTATCATTGTCTTTTTAAAATTTATTCTATGTTTAATCACTGTGTACCAGTACAGCATAACAAATGAATTTTCCCATCATGAATATAACCATATTGCTTCAGTCAAAGATATTACCACATATATTATCAACAGATAATTTCCCATTTGTGTGTCCCTTAAATGTGTTACTTCTTTCTTTTCCCCCTTGATTCCCTCCCTATCACTGTGTTTTTTATGATTATTTTTTCAGGTCAAGTAAGCGTGGTGAAAGTAACCATCCCACACCGTTTTGTGAATGTGACTGTTGGATCTGACATCACTCTCGTCTGCACGTACACCACCTATGTGGCCTCCATGGACAAGCTTTCCATCCAGTGGTCTTTCTTCCATAAGAAGGAACTTGGGCCAATTTCTGTAAGGACTTTTTTCTGAAACTCTTCTTTTTTATTGTTCTTTCTTATTATTTTATTTAACATTTATTTATTTATTCATTTATTCTAATCTGACCAGAGAAGGACAGAGAGAGGGGGCAGGGTGAATGACAATGCAAGCCGCCAGGTCCGGGATTTGAACCATGGTCAACTATATGGGAGTCCAGTGCACTTAACCACCATGCCACCTGCTGGCCCCTCTTTTTGAGAATTCTAACCGCAAGCCATTAGGGTAGATGTATAAAAGAATGGTATGCCAGTAACGACATTGGCAAAACTGCAGATATAAAGAGTTTGAAGATAACTATTAAGGGAAAATCATCGTCTTAGTGATTTAGCCCTCATGTCACTTTATATTTAGTTATGGCCCATTATTTTAATTCTGTGTAGGTCAAAATCAAAGTTATCATGTGTTCTAGAGTTGACAGAAATGGTCTTTCTTAGACGTAAAGTAAGCAGTCATTCTGAAAGGACTTTTCTGCCCCCCAGATATCTCCCTATTCTTCTAGAAGACTCCAGTTTAAATGCAAGTCTTAATTGATTTGCAGATTTCTACCAAACTTTTTATCTGGGAGCTGCCTGTCAGTTGAGCTACCTTACTGTTCCAGACTGAGTCCTGACAGAATGGGACTCTTGGCTGGCCCAAGGCTTGGTGGTGAAAAGAGTCAAATCCCAGTCTGAATCCTGGATCCAGAGGTTGAGAAACATGCTTTATGTATGTGCATGTGTGCCTAAAATCCTTTCCTGACAGGATAGAGAAATGGAGGAGAGGTGATTGCAGTGTAATATGCCCCATTAAGGTGTGCTTCTCTCTCTCTCTCTCTCTCTCTCATTCATGCTCTCTGACAAGTTAAAAAAATAAGACTCAGGTGATTGGAGAAGGGTCATAGTTATCAAGGGTAATCAAGGGTATCATGAGACTAGAAGATAGGGGATAAGGTGGATAGACACAGGGTCTGGGAAAAGGGGTTGCCATAGGAAGGTGGGTGAAAGTCAAGGGAGGAGAATGATTCCACATACAAACTGCCTATTTTCATATTTTCTTCATCTGGTCTTGAAGGTAATTGCTTTTTAAAATTAGCCCAAGGATTAAAATTATACACTCAAAGGTGTGCTTGTGTATGTGTGTGTGTGTGTGTGTGTGTGTGTGTGTGTCTATGAGAGAGAGAAAAAATAAAACATAAGCCATATGCATGTCTTGAGGGGAAAGGTCTATAAATTTCATCAAGTTCTCAGTGGATATATGACCCTAAACAGAGCTTAGAGAAGAGAGACAGATTGGTGTGGTTTGAAACAGTTGGATATAGCTGAGTTTGATCGTTAAGGAAAGATGAAAAGAGAGCAAGTTGAGTGGGCTGAGGGAAACCTATAGGCAAAGATGGAGAAGAAAGAGGGCATTAGCTTGGAAAAGCCAAACCTTGTCCAGTGTTGCATCAGCCATCATTAGTGCTTCGGAAGGGGTGAGTACTCTCTTTATTAGAGATTCTGAACATTTGTTTAGCCAGAAATACCTTTCTTAGAGGAGAGTTTATAAATGTCCTCTCTAGTTAAGCAATTTTACTCAGTACAGGTTACCTTGGGAAAATATCTGAATCACTCTATGACCCTCTTTAAAATATGATAGAATCAGAGCTGTCAGATGACATGGTGGTTAAGGTGTTGGACTTCCACATGTTCGACCATGGTTTGAGTCCTGGATCTGGCAGCTTGCTTTCTCACTTTCCCTCTCTCTTTCTGGTCAAATTAAATAATAATAATAACAATAAATAATATTGAACAAATAATTATTTTTAAAATGTAATAGAATAAACTGGTATAAAGCATGTGAAAATGCTTGGAGAAGTATGAAGTCCTTTAAGTTTTATCCTTTTTCTTAGGTTTTTGTCATGGGTGCTTGTTCTCACCAGAGAGAAACAGACAGAGACAGATAGAGGGAAAGTGACAAATTACTTCCCAGAGGTCATGGCCACACCACTGCCCCATCTTCTCTTTCCCCTCTTGGGATTTTGTGTACCCACATACACGTGCCTGGTATGAATTTCAAGCCACTAGGTATGGGACTCAAACTGCAGTTGGCCATGTGGGAGTCCAGAACCTTAACCAGCACACCACCTGCTGGCCCCATATTTGTCGTTTGAATCACCATTATGATTAACATAAGCGGCCCACTACTACCAATAGTGATTCTACCAGTTTCCATCATCTAAAATATCCTAATCCAAGACCTTGTATATTGGAATCAAGTAAGATATTTTTAAATTTTTAAATTTATTTATTTACATTCATTCACTGTACATCATTACAGTATACAAAATGAGATTTCCCATCCAGAATATACTGTATATTGGCTCAATCAAGGATATTACCCTATGTGTTATCATCAACAAATAATTTTCCATTTCTTGTTTCTTATATATTTTGCTTTTTTCCCCCCTTGATTCCCTAACTCTCACCCTCTGCCATTATTGCTTTCCTTTGCATGTTGCTTTCAGTAGATTGTGGATGACATGGTCTTTCTTCCTTTTTAAAATCTAATTTCCTGACTAGTCTTTCAACACATTTTTAATCTATACGTTTGAAGTTTCTTCCATTTTTCTAGTAGGCACTTAATTTAGAGAGGCCTTCTCAATACATTTTGCCATAGGGCGGGCACCACCACGCCCTCAGTATATTTTGAAAGATTTTATGCTTAATACTCAAGTCAAGATGTGTCCAAGTGCCTGGAGGCCAGGTGATGCTAGTTTGAGTTCGAAACCACAAATTCTTCTTTATGCCTTCCATGACACTGGATTTTTCAAGGCTGCTTTCTGGTTAAACCATGTAACTAGTGAGGACCTGAGAGGGAGCTATAGGGCTAAAGGATGTTGTGATCAGCAATGAACTTTTTCTGGACTTAGAGATTCAGGGAAAGAAAGTATATGTGACTGAAATGAATGTGGCTTGAGCTCTGGACACCTCTTAGATACACTTTAAAAAGAAACTCTATTAACAAGTAAGTATTTGTTGAGTAGCTTATTTAATTGCCATTTGCCTCATTTCCAAAATATTCGGTGCAGGTGAGGCAAGTAACTTAAGATATCTACTCTTTTGGCTTGTCTGACTCAAAGGAGTTTCTCTGGACTGAACTGCTCGATCAGGGAGAACGTGCTTCTTGATCTTAAAATGGCACCCATGCCTTAGCCACATAGAAGGTAAGGTAGGACTTGAGGACAGTGAGAACTACCCCCTAAAAGGCAAACTTTCTCCTCCTCCTATTCTCCAGTCTCACTTCAGCTTACCCTAGCCAGATCCCCATTACAGCCATCTATAGGTCTCTATTTTTAGAGAATGGAGTCAGTCCATTCACTTCTAATAACCTGCAGGCATGTACTACTCTCTGCTTTGTCAGATGAGTGGTTTTGGAGCCCCAATGGAAATCTCCTGGTAGATGTCAAATTACTCCTTGATTTGCCCTTACTTACTAGCTGGATGACTTTGGACAATTCATTTGACTTTTCAGAGGCTCAGTTTTCCCATGTGTAAAATGGAGTTACTTAATGACCTCATAGGTTTAATGTAAAGATTAGATTAGATGCTTGATTGAGTGAGAAACACTAAAGTTTCAGTAAATGTGAGCTATTACTAGTAACATAATTATTCATAGAATGGTGATTTTGCAAAATTCCTAACTGATCCATACTGCTAGTGTATGCTAGGAAGTTGATCATGGGCACTAGGGACCTTGTCCAATAAGATATACTTACATAGCTGAACAGAGCTGTTAGGGGACATTTTGGCTCAAGACTGGCTTCCAGTTCCACTTGAAGCCTACCAGGTCCCTGTGCATAGAGAGAGAACCCAGACCCCTCCTCTGCCTTATTCTCATTTTTTATTTTTGTTTCTTTTTTTAAAGAGAGATTTTTTTCTATAGAGCACATGCTCTCACTGGAGAGACAGAGAAAGGCAGAGAGACAGAAAGCGAGAAATCACCCCCCCCCCGAGGGGATGAACACGGTGCAATCCTTTCTCCTTCATTCTCATCTTGGGATTTTGGGCATGCATGCATACACATCTAGCATGAGTTTTAAACTGCTGGGTCTGGGACTTGAACTGTTGTCAACTCTGTGGGAGTCCAATGACGTAACCATTATGTCATCTGCTGGTCCTACCTTTGGCTCATCTTCAAACGGTCTGTTCAATCAAGAAGTAATAGATATCCTGGGTTGAGATGATATTTTTTTATGGGATTTGGCCTCCATTTCAAAGTTTGTTTCCTCTTTGAGTACCTGCATGCATTCAAAATTCTGTAGAGCATGCTGTACATTCATCAAGGGATTGCTGATGGGATATTTGGGGGATGTTGAAGAGAGACTGCTATGTTATTAGTCAATTCTGTGACTTACAGAGTAAGATGTTGCCATACTGACCATTGAGTGATTCAGTTCAGCTCCTGGGTTGATGTGGCAGTATACCATGTAGTATTTGGCTCTCAGATCCACCCATTTCTGCTCAAAGGCAGCACAGCTCATATCTCAATGCTGACGGTATGGAAGAAAAGGCAGTCAGTCTAATAATGGCATATGGAAGAGGTGCTTGGGGGAAGATGTAGCTGGACCTCTCCAGTAGGAACACTTATTGGTGTGCTACTGAATCCATTCATTGTTTGAAGTCTCTAGGGCACTGGCACAAACTTTAGGAGAGGTATGAGAAATTCTCAGTTTGACAGTAACACAGATCAGCCCAAGCCACTGACAGACCAGGGAGAATATTGAGTTTGCCTTCTCACATTCACATTGGAAATTCCTTCCAGCTCCTCCAAAAGGCTCAGGGCCCTATTGCTCCCTGATCTAGGCACTGGCCAGTTCTTGCCATAGGCCCATTTTATAGGTCCACTTTATCTCCCCGCAAATCATTGTGTTAAAGTAGCAATTGAATCTGAGGCCTGGTATTTCTTCATATCCAGGGACGAGTGTAATCTCTTTCTGACTAGCCCCTCCTTTGGTG